CCAAAGACGAGTTAAATCTAACTACAAGTATTTCCGATACATTCTATTCATTCCAATAAATCGTAAAATATGCGTATTCATGGGGATCTTACGACAATACTTTAGAATCAGAAAGTGATAGGGGTGTAGCATGCAAAATTGTCAGTGATCCACAGTCCGATACGATTGAACCATATGACTGAAGGCAAATGACCTGACGAGTGTACAATGTTTGCCAGGCATTAGTATAGTAGTAGTAGTATAAATAGGCAGCTTTGTGATCTTTTCAAACGACGTTCAGTGTAAAGTTGTTCAGCATGAAAGAACCAGCGAAGGATTGGCAGTCGTTTACATTGGCGGAGTTTTCGAAATGAAATTACCCATGAGTACTTGATGCAATACCTGGGATTGATAGCCTACCTTTTATATCATATAGACCGTGTAAAAGATATACAGTCGTATAAATCTAACACCATGATAATAAAATCTCCGGAAACGGTTTACAATTTAATGATGGACGTAGCTACCAATTATAACACAAGAACTTCCGGTAAGTTGTTAAGTTATTCCATATTATTACTGGTTATTGAAAGTCCAAAGGATACTAGTTGGTGAGAGGGAACTTGTTTTTAATTTGCCCCTAATGTTAATTGAGAGAAAAGCTTGTGAGGGACAACTGTCAGTATCGCTTGTTGTCTTAGTCACCGTCGTCCCCGTTGTAAACTATGTTTCTTGTGTTAACAATAACTCAATAAATCCTTACAATTAATTGTCTTCAATTAATCGGTGTGTAATCTTGCCCAAGTTCAATTGTAATATGATTCGTTTATTTTTAAAGATGTTTGCGAATTTCAAAGTTACAAAATGGAACTTAAAATTATAGTTACAATAAAACAAACAATTTGTATCTGTTCATTTTCAAACTTACTAATCGCTATGATAAATTATAAGTCAAGAGCAATTTTGGTGTCGGGCATATCTGGTTTTACGGATTTCCGTGAAAATTCGGTTACGATCAAATATTTGTTGGATAGAAGGGAAAAAAATGAAGACATTTGTACTGCCGGTAACCATATCTCAGTAATATATCCCACAAGATATGCTACTTACATAATGCAGTAAGCGGATATGTAGATTTCATTGTGTAGTATAAATCATTTGTCCCACCAAAAAAGCTGAAAAGTATTTTTTTCCGCCAAAAATGTTGGTTTCTAGGTTTCTCGCCAAAATCTTTCGTAAATACTTCTGTACTATTTCGAAACTTTTATACAATTCGTGTTATATTATTCTCAGAGGAATCTTGAGATTAGTACCTGTAGTTATTAACGCAGTATAGTTAGTATCCATCCTGATTTCTTATTCGTATTATATTTCTGTTCACAGTGGGCAAGGTTGTATTAGTTACGCTATGTTTGAATTATGGACTTCAGTTGAGTGTTTTTCGACTAACCTTCCATTCAAAATAGCCGTCGCAGTAAGCTAGTAATAACACAATCGTTATTTCCATGGAAACAAGTTCGTGTACCCCGCTATTTATTTGCTCTTTTACATTTATTTAATGGAACAGTTCGCTCTGCAAAATTAAATTTGAAGTGCTGTTTGCGCGTGTTTACTAGTTTAGTAGCTCCCCTGAATACGCCTTTTTCGCCATATACAACCTGCTGACTGTCCTGAGGTCGTATCGCTGTAAACTCGTTTTTAACACATATAACATCTATTTTCCACTGTTATTTTTATCGTGAGTTTGGTTCTTCATATACGTTATCTATATGTATGCGATCTCGCATTTTATAATTGTCGCCGCGATCATAGTGTTACGATGAAACCTAGAGAATATAGAAAAAGAGGAAAACTATCTGGCTAGCAAAACCTCTAAAATAAGTAAATCTAATTGTGGTCTATGGCCGGAGCCACTACACACCCCACCCAGTATTCCCTTTCTATCAAACTTGAAAACTAAATCGATTTTTAATCACAAAAACGAGCAACACATTGATTTTGGTTTCAGTTTGTATAGGTCTGTTCTTCAAGTGATTTGAACACGTTCCTTT